TTATTTTGCGACACCACGAAACAAACGATAGCGTAAAATGAAACGACGTTTTTAAATCGTCATCCGATATATATCGTTATATTAAACAGCTCTACAAATGTAGTAATTTATTTATTCATTGATTTATTTTTTATTCTTTTACATTTTTCAGCCAAAGCCTGGCCTTAGTATGCAGTAGCTTAAAGGAGCTGTGTGTAAGTTCAAACCTTTGCATAGCAATTAAAACAATTAATTTGACACTATTTTCAAAATGCAGCGTTTTGCAGCTTTCTTAGTGTCATTCTTTAAAGAAAAAAAGGGATCTGTGTGTTGAAAGACCCAAACTTGGTGCACTTTTGTCATGGGACAGACTCACTGAGTATTAGGAAAGTTTCCAGCTGACTTTTTAATCTTTGCCACTTTGCTCATGCCTCCTCCCTCTGCACGAGTTCTGTGTGACTGTAGTGCAGTGTGTGTGTGAGCGTTTGGGATCAGTGGCAAACGTCGAGCCTGTTTTTGAGGAGGGACAAGTGTTATGGAATCTAATTCCTCTCACATGCTGCTTGTTAGAGTAGACTGGAGTTGAAGGCTTCTGCTACAGCCCATCTCTTCCCTCCAAAGACCGTGTAGCACTAAAGCCAGAGCGCTGCGCTTTTCTTCTTTTTCTGCTACGCTGTTGAATTTGTCACACAGGTGTGATAGCACTGGGGGTCGAGTGGTCAGCATAGCTAGCGAGACGAGCATTGGAAGAAGCATTAAAAGGATTCTGACTCACACATGCAAACTGGCTGCCCCTCCTCAGCCCAGTTCCTTACCGTCGGAGATGAATGCGTTAAGGCTTTCAACATGTCTGTTCTGGGAGATGGCAGTGATTACCAGTGGAAGGAGTTCCAGGGGTCAGTATCAGGCTGCCACCATTAGTCAGTGACTAAAAATTAGTTGGCGAGTAATTGGATAACGAACTAATCATTTCAGCCATTTGCTTATAAAATATGTGATTAGAGAAACAATCATGATGTCATGTGAAATATGTGACAGTTTACTTACTGTCCCACATAATTTACCTCCCGATATGGAAAAGAAATAGAAAAGACTTGCATCAGATGTGGCCTTCTTCATATAGTGAATCATATAAGGCTTATATGCTTTACTCATGAAAGTGGCCACTTTCATATATTGTTTTAGTAAGAATCCATAAGATACAAGTTTCATTTATATAATTTTTTCAAGGGATGTTTTCACTCTTGTATGCTTTTCATACAAGTTTCACACAAGACAGATACAAACTTCAGAAGATTTATAAATATCTTTTCCATATGGGTATTATGACCGTGGACAAAATAGTACATTTGAATTAAAAAACAAAACAAACCATCAGCTGGTAGTGGTTAAAATGGTTACAATAATGACATCTCGATGATGTGTGGTTTTGTGAGACTTTCTTGTTTACACATGTGTGTTGATGCTAGAATAAAGGCATACATAGAGATGAATAACTGGTTGCTATATATGCAGTTTATTAGGGGTGGGGGATAAAATCGATACTGTGTAGCATTGTGATATTTTGTTTGCTAATAATGTTTTGTTTGCAGGGACAGCAGAAATCGATATTTTGTTACAAAAAGGTTTTTGTGCTCTGACTTCAGAGCATGTTGATCCTTTTTCTGAGCAAGAATCCTGACATTCCTTCACTGTCCAAATGTGT